CTGTGAAATTATTCATATATCACGAGTCCATCCAAGCAAAATTTTCAATCGTTACCGCGTATCATCTCGATATACCACCCCGAGGCGATATTTCGATATACACAATTTAAAGAGCTAAGAATGAATTTAACTGAATGCGAGCAATAATTGTTATTGAAAATCATCCGGGACGTTATTTCGAATCTTCAATCTTTTCGTAGCCGAGTCAAATTCGTAAAGTACTGACATTATATTGAGTAAAGCGTCACTTGCCAATATTAGAATTATGTCAACACAAAAAATATATGGATGTACAAACAACCTTCTTGAGAATTTTACTAATTATTAATGTTATTTTGTCGTTACCCTTTTTTTATGATAGAGATAGATATATATTATATTTTAAGATTTTATTAATAATAGTTTATAAACAAAATTACAAGTAGTTTAAATTTTTAGATTTTAAATTTTAATTTATAGTTAAAAAAAATTAGTTTAAATGATTATTAGAGGGGGTTTAAATATATTAGTTTTAAAAAGTTTAATAATATTTTAAAATATTAATTTTAAATTTTTTTTTAATTAAAAATAGCAACTTTAAATATCTAAAATTATAATTTTATATAATATAATATAAATATTTTATAATATATCTCAATATATCTTTTTAATGATTGCGATAGCATAACATATCTACTTAAAGTTAAATCTCGAATTGAATTTAGGGATCATTCGCCGTCATTCTTCGCTCTGCACAGTGTTGAATGATTCTAGATCGCAAATTACCTATCCAAGAACAGTTTTATCTTGCACTTGTTCATACTACTAGGGTCGATAATGGGTTGGACCAGGTTAAGTTGGGTTGATCTAGTCTTCAACCTACTCTATCATATTAATTTAGGCTTGTTCCAGATTCTACTCAAAGTTCCTCCAGATTGTTCAAATTTATAGACATTTTTAAATCCACTCCAATTGAGTTGAATTCATCCTGGCGTGACTTCGAAGTGACTCCGGAGCAGTATGCTACTCCATCTGTATTGTCTATTTACCTATTAACAAAAACAATTTGTCCTCGTGTAGGTACAATTTTTCCACGTAAATTCAAATCCATAGTTTCACATTCATTATAAACAAGGTGGTCAGGGCAAAAAGCATCACCACACCATCGGTTTTTGTAATTTTTCAGGCTAAAGCAAAGAGGTTGCTTATATTCGAGTATAACGATATTAATAGGATTTAATATCCACCACCAGATTTTCGGCAGAATTGTTGCTTTTAATCAGTAGATATGCGATATTAGAATTAGGATTTAGGGTTCGTTTTGATAACAAAAGAGTATATGGGATCTTTGCTAGAAACATGACCCTCCGAGGCTATGTTGATTTTGTGAATAACAATTAAATTTTGCTAGCCATCTAGTTATCCAATTGAATAAACTTTTTTGATTTGTAAATCTCAATAGATTATACAAATAAAAAAAAAATTTTATTCAAATTGGATAACTGGAAGATTGGCGAATTTAATTTTATTTACAAAATCAATATAGCCTCAGAGAGTCATTTCCTAGCAAAGATTCCATATGTGAATTTTGTAGAGTTAATATTTTTAAATCGAGGTTCATAATTTATGCTAATATTATCATGTGCTTCAGCATTGGGAAAAATGAACATAGAAATCTTTGTCGCCGCTCATTATTGGAGAAAGATATAAAAAAAAGGTTATTTTTCTTTTTTATATTAAACAATTTTTTTTTATCAATTTTAAAAAAAGCGATTTGAAATTTGGGTTTCAAGACCATAATCTGAACTAAGATTGGGAATCAATTGGTATCATTTGATCCTTAGTTTATTACAGTCTTGGTACCGGTCTTTCGAAGACTGGCTCATTCTATTCTTGAACCTTTTTCGAACCAAATGTAAAATCATCACCCGGATCACCCGTATAATCTAAAATCGAGTGAACCAGTTTGAATAATCGTGACAGCGAGAATTATGAGTAACTAGTTTTTTCAAAATTTCGAGGTGGATATTACCGAAAAATAAAAAACTGATCAGTTCGAATCTGAGACCCGGACAATAAGCATAAAAAAAATATAATACAATAGTATAAATACAAACCTGTGAATAGTGTTGTGACCTGTGTGAGACTTTATGACTTGACACCATAAACTTAGGGATGATGGTGCAGTTAGTATATTCTCTTTTCGTTGTATTCGTTGCGAGTTTTATATCGTAACAATAATATCGAATAAGGTTTATCCAATATTGGGATATGCGGTCGATTTGGAATACGAAAGTTTTCTAACCTACGCGTGCAATTCGACTTTTACTAACGTTTTATTTCCTTGGCTATTATACTTAACTGGAGTATCGTTTAGGTACTCCACCTAATAAGCACCACAAGGAAACGTACACAACGTTGCAAGTACTTAGTGTATATACTACGTATTAAGATAGTATTTTTCTAAAGCCAAACATGTACACTTATATGTTAGATTATACACCAATTATACTACATAGGTACGTACGTACGAATTCCCGGGGACCTATATTTTAGGTAGCGTTCCCAACAGGAAGAAACGTACCTGATCCAAACGTAATCCCACACCTGGTATGCAAAACATAAAAAAATCATTTCACAATAATGGGCCAGTTAACATCCAATGCTACAAATATAATCCCTCAGTTTATATCGGGTTTGTTTCCTCCTGTTAGCGTTCCCACAAAAAATTGTAATTTTGACCAATCAAAATTTAAGATCAGGTGTCAAAACAAACTTGTTTTGTTTTCTAAGTATAAAAGTTACGCGTAAAATGAAACCCAAGAAAACCGTGTTATACTTAGGGTTAGGATTAGAACAATATAACGTTTATTAGTAAAACATCACGAGGAATATGTTTAATTAGACCGCAGAAGGTGGTTTCCTAATTAAATTTAGAGTTATTCTTGTTTTTTTTGTTTCGTTCGATTTTTACATTACACCTGATCCTGAAATTCGATTGGTCAAAATTACAGAGGAGAGCGAACGCATTTTTGGAATTGGGCAAAACCCGAATTACTATTTAATTATTTAATTATTACATACTATACTCTACAGCATACGTCAACCATATGACATATCTCTTTTTACTGTTGAAATTCATCTCTTCTCACTCTTGATATAATGTATTGCTTGGGAAATTAGAGAGAAATTACTAGTAACAAGATTGTGAGTCTATTAGTAAATCCATTATATCAAGAACCTTGATCCACTATATCAAGGTTTCACTTAGTCTCTGTTATATCGAGAATCCGTTATATCAAGAGTGACGTGTATTATATATTAGTCAAGCAAAGGAAGGTTTATACAAAGGAAAGTTTTTGACAACAATAGATAGTCCGTATAGAACCTCCAAAAGTTTGTATTAAATCCAGATTAGCGGGATTGAACATTTAGATAAAATTAGTAAGAAAAAACGTGTGTTTATTCACAGTACAATAATAATGAGTTAAATTTTGTAATAATAATAGATTTTTAGAGGTTACATAATCAACCGTTTTGACCCCGAGTTGTAAACTTTTGACCTGGTTGAACCGTTTTGACACGGTGACCCGGTTTACTATAACCCAGTTCTAAAATCTACTTTTTCATTTTCTCTTCTTCCAACGCTTTGGCGAAAATTCCACTGAGGAATACAGGCTTGCCACTATTACAAACGAAGAAAAATGTTAGGAGTCGTTGTTGTAAAAAAAAAAAGCGCGTCAAAATTCATTAAAATTCGTTTAAATTAATAGTTAATTTAAGAGGCTTACCATTCGTAGTTTTTCGCTTTCTTTTCCCGTAGCATTTTGGTGCAGGGGGATAAAATGTTGTCTGTAGGAGAACTCAAACTAGTTGTTTCATAAATATAACAATGTTTAATAAATAAATTTCATTAAACATAATTTTAATACTCTTTTTGAATTGTTAACTTACTTAAAAGTCTTATTCCGAAAAAAATTATGAGTCGTTTTAGGTTTTTGAACATGCATTTCTTGAATTTCCAATACATTCTGACATTCTTCGTTAGACGCTTCTTGACAAATGTTGGTTGAATAAACTTCGTTGTCCTTGGTATAAACAGTAGTTTGAGTAGTTTGATGAGACGCCATAGCATTCATTCTTGAAAAGATTAAAAGACGGACTCCTTGTTATTGATATAACGAGAGTTTTTTTTTTCCTCTACAAACGCGTCCGTTTTTATATTTGTTTATATTATATTTCACGTGACCGTGTATCATCAGGTCGGAATTGAGTTCGGCCAGAATTAAAGACTTGAAATCAACCGGCCTACATCACTTTGTTAATGCCAGCTGACTTAACTCCAGAATATCTTTTGCACTACATCTGGAATTTGAAGATGCCTCTACAAGTTCTCGTAATTTTTGAATCACGGAAGGGTTATTGAAACAACTCGTTTTTCATAAACAGCCACGTATAACAATCTTGAATTTACTAAATATCGAATTTACCGTTACTAAGCAATTACACGTATTCAATTCATCAAAAAAAAACTTTGACGTTATATCCGTTATGACTCATAACTTTGTATGTTGCCGGCATATTATCCGAAATATATGAATCTTATGATATTGAACAGATTAAGAATAGGTCTTTTCTATCCATTTAATTCACAAAGGAATTTTTACAAGTTTCTTATTCAAAGAGAAAAGAAACGTTATCCAAATTTTAACGAAATAGTTCCCCGGCTTAACTTTAGTTCAAGTATGACCGCGTTTAGCCGTTCCTCTTTAGAAGAATTATTGAAAAAGCGCTTTTTCTACGCGCCTTCTTTTCAAGCATACGGTGGTAAGAATTTTTTTTTTTTTAACAAAAAAAAATTTTTTTAAATGAAGAAATGTGTTTCAAGATACAAAGTTTAAGAGTTTGATGTTATATTAAAATATATATATATATATTTATTTATTTATTTATTTATTTATATATAATGATATCATTTGCATTTTTTTTTTTTCTCACCTCAAATTAAAATTTTGAATTCAAAAAGGTGTTGCGGGACTTTATGATTATGGTCCTCCCGGCTGTGCTCTTCAGGCTAATATCATCGATTTATGGCGTAAACATTTCGTGCTAGAAGAAGAAATGCTTGAAATGGATGGTGCAATTATTACTCCCGCAGATGTTCTAAAAACATCTGGTCATGTGGATAAGTTTAGTGACTGGATGGTTAAAGATACAAAAACTGGTGACATTTTTCGCGCGGATCATTTAGTTGAAGCTGTTCTAGAAGGAAGGCTAGATGGCGATAAACAGGCTGAAAATAATGAAAATAATGCAACATCTCAAAAAGATAAAAAGAAGAAAAAGGGTGCAGTTCAAGCTGTAAAATTAGATGA